TTATGTGGTCAATTTTAGAGTAGGTGTGATGTGGTGCTGAGAAGAATGTATATTCTGTGGATTTGGGGTGGAGAGTTCTGTAAATGTCTATTAGGTTTGCTTGATCCAGGTTTGAGTTCAAGTCCTGGATATCCTTGTTAATTTTCTGTCTTGTCGATCTGTCTAATATTGACAATGGGGTGTTAATATCTCCCACTATTATTGTGTGGGAGTCTAAGTCTCTTTGTAAGTCATTAAGAACTTGCTTTATGTATCTGGGTGCTCCTGTATTGGGTACATATACACTTAGGATCGTTAGCTCTTCTTGTTGCATTGATCTTTTAACCATTATGTAATGTCCTTCTTTGTCTCTTTTGATCTTTGTTGGTTTAAAGTCTATTTTATCAGAGATGAGAATTGCAACTCCTGCTTTTTTTCTCTCTCTCTCTCTCTCCATTTGCTTGGTAAATCTTCCTCCATCTCTTTATTTTGAGCCTTTGTGTATCCTTGCATGTGAGATGGGTTTCCTGGATCCAGCACACCAATGGGTTTTAGCTTTTTATCCAATTTGCCAGTCTGTGTCTTTTGTTTGGGACATTTAGCCCATTTACATTTAGGGTTAACATTGTTATGTGTGAATTTGATCATGCCATTTTGATGCTAGCTGGCTGTTTTGCCCGTTAGTTGATGCAGTTTCTTCATTGTGTTGATGTTCTTTACCGTTAGGTATTTTTTTTGGAGTGTCTGGTACTGATTGTTCCTTTCTATGTTTCGTGCTTCTATCAGGAGCTCTTGTAAAGCCGGCCTGGTGGTGATGAAATCTCTGAGTAGTACTTAAAGGATTTTATTTCTCCTTCACATATGAAGCTTAGCTTGGCTGGATATGAAATTCCAGGTTGAAAGTTCTTTTCTTTAAGGATGTTGAATGTTGTCCCCCACTCTCTTCTGCCTTGTAGGGTTTCTGCTGAGAGGTCACCTGTGAGTCTGATGTGCTTCCCTTTGTGGGTAACCTGACCTTTCTCTCTGGCTGCCCTTAGCATTTTCTCCTTCATTTCAACCCTGGTGAATCTGATGATTATGTGCCTTGGGGTTGCTCTTCTTGAAGAATATCTTTGTGGTGGTCTCTGTATTTCCTGGACTTGAATATTGGCCTGCCTTGCTAGGTTGAGAAGTTTTCCTGGATGATATCCTGAAGAGTATTTTCCAGCTTGGATTCATTCTGTCTGTCACATTCAGGAACACCTGTTAAACATAGATTAGGTCTTTTCACATAGTCCCATATTTCTTGGAGACTTTGTTCATTCCTTTTTACCCTTTTTTCGCTAATCTTGTCTTTTCATTTTATTACATTGAGTTGATCTTCAACCTCTGATATCCTTTTTGCTTGGTCAATTTGGCTGTTGAAACGTGTGTATGCTTCTCACAGTTTTCGTGTTGTGTTTTTCAGCTCCATCAATTCACTTATATTCCTCTCTAAGCTGTTTATTCTCCTTATCATTTCATCAAATCTTTTTTCAAGGTTCTTAGTTTCTTTACATTAGGTTAGAACATATTCTTTTAGCTCAGAGGAGTTTCTTATTACCTACTTTCTGAAGCCTGTTTCTGTCAATTCATCAAACTCCTTCTCCGTCCAGCCTTGTTCCCTTGCTGGTGAGGAGTTGTGATCCCTTGGAGGAGGAGAGGCATTCTGGTTTTGGGTGTTTTCATCCTTTTTGCGCTGGTTTCTTTCCATATTTGTGGATTTATTCACCTGTCGTCTTTGTAGTTGTTGACTTTCAGATTGGGTCTCTGAGTGGATGTCCAGTTTGTTGATGATGAAGTTATTTCTTTCTGTTTCTTAGTTTTCCTTCTAACAGTCAGGCCCCTCTGCTATAGGACTGCTGAGGTCCACTCCACCCTGCTTGTCTGGGAATCGCCTGCAGCAGCTACAGAACAGTAAGGATTGCTGCCAGTTTCTTCTTCTGCTATCTTTGTCCCAGAAGGATACCCGCCAGATGTCAGTCTGAGCTCTCCTTTATGAGGTGACTCTTTGGATATATAGGGGTCAGGGAGCTGCTTAAGGAGACAGTCTGTCCTTTATAGGAGCTCAAGTGCTGTGCTTTGAGCACCGTTGTTCATTCAGAGCTGTTGGGCAGGTTTGTTTAAGTCTGCTGCTGCAGCACTCATAATTGCTTCCCCCCACCTCCCGCCCCTGAGGTGCTCTCTCCCCGTGAGTTAAGGCTTTATTTATGAGTTTCTGTTGTGCTGTTGCCTTTTTTCAGGGCAGCCCTGCCCAGTGAGGAGGTAGCCTAGTCATAGTCTGCCTGCAGAGGCTTTGCTGAGCTGCTGTGGGTTCCGCCCAGCTGCCATGTGAACTTCCCTGCAATCCTATTTATACAGGTATAGTTAGAACTGCCCCAGCGATGGCCACCCACCTCTATAATGGCAGACTCTCTCTGTAATGATGGGTTGCCTCAGCAATGGCAGACTGCCTCAGCAATGGCGGACTACCTCCGTAGTGGTGGACTGCCTCATTAATGGTGGACGCCTCTCTCCCACAGAGCTGGACTGTCCCTGGTTCAGCTGTGCTTGCTGTGAAACTCTCAATCCAGAGCGTTTCAGATTGCTGTTTTTTTTGTGGGGGTGGGACCAACCAAGCCTGATCACCTGGCTCCCTGCCTCAGACCCCCTTTTATTTTTTCCCTGTTGAACAGGCTACTCTGTCTCCCAGGTATTCCAGTCACCTGTTGAAAAGGCGCCGGGATCTGTGTGATTTCCCGAGTGGCGACCCACTGCACCAGCTCAAACAGCCAGGCTGAGATTCATGGTGCTTTTTTGCCCAGGAATATCCTGGCCTGGCTCCCTGTTTCAGTCCCCTTTTTATCAGTTCAATGAGCGACTCTGTCTCCCAGGAGCTCCAATCACCAGCTAATATGGCTCCCAGGCACGTGTATTTTGTGCAGAGACCCACTGCACTGGCCAAAACATCCTTGGCCACGCTGGCAACCCGTGGGGCTCCTCCACCTTGGAATCTCCTGGTCTATGGGCAATAAAAATCCATCTCGAAATGTGGCATCCGCTCACCCTCTGTGCTTTTGCTGGGAGCTGCAATCCTGAGCTGCTCCTAATTGGCCATCTTGGATCCATCCTCATGTTTGTCTTGTTAAGCCAGTCTCCCCATAGCTACTTACAGCTATGGGACCTTGGCAAAGTATCTCATTGCTCCAAGCCTCAGTTCATCACAGGTAAAATGAGGGTCACCATCATTTCCACCTCCTTGGATGGTCAGGAACATTCAGTCACAGAAAATTCCCAGTCTGGCCCATGGCAAGTGCTGGGTGCTTGCTAGCTATCCATTTGTTTTTGTGATGGGGACACAGGACGGGCCGCTAATGTGTGCTCATGGCCAGTTTGGGAGCATAAAGAATTTTACTTTTCTGTCCCTCTGATCAAGCACCAGGTCCCATGATTCCTAATTGAGGGCAAACACCTCTGCCCTGGGTTGCTAGACAGGAGCAGGGAGGGAGAGCAAGTGTGAGTTGGGGAGGTGAGGTGGGTTCCTGGCAGTTCCTCCACCAGCTGCTTGTGCCCCAGTGCCCTCCACGCCCTTGTCTCTGCAGCTGTGCCAGGCTGCACCTCCTACCCCATTCCACCTGCCTGCCCTCTCCCAGAGCTTCCTAACAACTTCTGTGACACCAGAGTCACCGCCCCCCCCACCGCGTCTTCCAGAGCTCTCCTAGTTTTATGTTTATTTTATAACATTTCTGGGGTGTTGGGGTTGGGTTGGAGGGGAAGGCAGTCCATGTGCTCAGTTTACCCTCTCCACCTGACTTCTTAGCTGCCTGAGGCTCAGAGGGAGGCTGCTGGCATCTGCTCTGTCTCTGAATTGTAGTCAGTGTGGAGAATCAGGAGCAGGACAAGAGTCTACCCTACAAAACAAACCTTCACATGACTTTTTCTGGGTCTCTGGTCCCTCCTCAGGCTTGAAGCTCTTTGTTCTTAGCCTTCCCCAGGAGGACTGGAGAGCCCTAGAAAGACAGATGCAAGTTCACAGAGAGGGCCCAGGGCAAGGTCCATGAGCTCAGTGTCAGCAGGCCCTGGTCACCAGGTCCATCATTGACAAACAGCAGGTCTGGCCTCCCTCCTTCATGAGGGAGACTCCAGAGCCCTGCAGTGAGGGCAGACTGAGCGCAGATGTATGTGCCAAGGCTGTGCGCACTAGCTCTCTTTCTGGGGCCAGGACAGAAGGCCAACGTGAACCAGGTTAAACTACAGAGGTGCCTTTATGGAGCTGGAAAGTCCAGGGTTGGACTTTAGGCACAGCTACATCCAAGGGAACCTTCCCACTCATGTTTTTCCATGCTGGGCTGGGAGGGCAGTGGGGCCCCCAAGACAGACACCACCACTTGGAAGAGCTGGCTCCCCTTACCAGTAAGGTGTCTCCCTTTCCAGAGCATGGCCCTGACGCTTCGGTGAATCCTTTCCACTTGTCTGGGGACGTGGATTTTTTCTTGCTCAGAGATCAGCAGCGGAATAAGACCCTCTCCGTGAGTATCTGGGACAGCCACCAGCACCTCCAGGAGCTTCCCTGTTCCCACTGCTTCCTGGAGTGGCCATATTGTCTTTCTTAGAGGAGCACTTTCCTCAGGTCCTTCTCACTCCACAATAGTTAGTGGCTCAGGACTTTCTACAAAATCAGCTGGAAAGCCTACCTGGCTCAGGTCTCACAGCATCCCACTGTCTTCCCCTGTCTCTTACCACTCTTCCTGGGCCTTAGGTAGACATCTTGGGCTGCCGTGGCCGCAGCCTCAGCCACCTTGCTGCTACTTCCACTGTTGCCTGCATGAAACACCATCCCCTCCTGACACTCTCCTGGTCCTCCCAGACCCAGCTCAGCCTTCACAGGCCCTCTCCCGTCCCACAAGCAATCCCTACTGCTCAGGCCTTGTGCCCTCCCTCTGGCTGGACCCCCTGCAGGTCAGATCCACACACACAGTCACCCACGGCATGCACACACATGCTTCTCCAGGTGCCTCGGGTCCCTGGGCCAGCCCCGACCCCACCCCTGCCCCATCTTCACCTCAGCCTGTCCTCTTGATTTCCAGCCCTGAGAGTTGTGAGCCCTGAGTGGGACCGCCTTTTCCTGCCGCCAGCATGCCTGAGCAAGCATGGGCACACAGCCCTGCCCCATGTGCCAGGTGTGGCGGCCTTCCCAGAGTCACACCTGTGCTGCCCCACAGCCTCCAGCCACCTCCCCCTGACTCAGGGCTCAGCATCCCTGAGATTCCTCACAGCCATGGTTCCCCAGGCAGCAACGGCCACACTGGCATCTGCGGGGCATGGGTGGAGATGTACAGGCCTCAGCCCTGCCCAGGCCTCCACATCAGACACCAGGCCCTTCAGCCCTAAGCCAGTGGGCTGTGATTCCCAGACCAGCTGAGACCCAGAGATTCTGACCCACGCCTTGGCCACCCTGCTATATCTTCTCCAAAGAGGCGTTTGGTTTTCCTCTACACTCAAGCCCAGCCCTAGCTCAGGGCCTCCTGAGTCTCACCCAACACACTCTCTCCACCATATCCAGCAGGGTCACCAAACCCCAACTTCACCCACCCAACGGGGTCACCAAACCCACACCCTCTGTCACTCAACAGGGTCACCAAACCACACCCTCCCCTACCCAGCAGGGTCCCCCACTCACACCCTCCCCCTCCCAACGGGGTCCCCCTCAGTCTGGCCCTGCCCTTAGTCAGCTGCCCAATGTCTTCTAAAGGCCATCTTGTATCCTGAGAATCTAGTGGGTGACATTTTCCTGACTGCAGTGGCCAGGATGTGCACTCTAGGGGCCTCAGGCTGGACCCATTTGCCTGGGTTCTTAGATGCTGTTTGTGTACCTGGCAGGTGCCAGCAGGAAATAGAAGTGACCGTAGAAAGTCCACATAAAGAGACTCCCAGGGCGGGCACAGAAAAGAGGGGGGAGAACTGGCAGGGGATGTCACCACCCTGAGAACTGGACAGCAGGAGGGACACGGGGCGGGGCCAGGGGATGGGGAGGTAAGTCCAGCCTTCCCACTCCTCCCGGGATTTCCTCCCAAGGGAGGGCTGGGTGAGAAGCCACCTCCGGGCCACAGGAGCTGGAGTAGGGTGGAGAACAGGTGGAGAGGGCCACCAACGGCGACCTTCAGGCTACAGGCGACCTACTACACAGCCGCAGTCTTCGAGAACCCCAGAGCCTCTAGGTTCCCTTCCCCTGGGTTGGTCATCAGAATATACCGCTCTCAGTTAAATGTGAATTTCAGATAAAATGAGACATCTTTTCTGGTGAGTGTGGCTCTTCTGTGGATCTGGAGTGCTCATCTGACCGTGCAGTCTGTGTTTGTGCTGAGGACTCCGCCTGGCGCCCTTCTCTGGGCAAATGGCCTCCCTGACAGCTGCCCTGCCCGCTTGGCTCTCAGCCCCAGGCAGCTGCCTGCGTCCAGGCCCCCCGCATCTCCGCAGGCATCTTCCCGCGCCTGCAAACCTGCCTCCCCGGCCTCGGGCCCGCCCACCCCTTGGAGTGGGGAACCGCGCAGGGAGGCAGCGGGGCAGGTTGAAGAGCCTGGGTCCCGCCCAACCTGGCCCGACGCCCCCAGGAGCGACAGCAGCAGAAGCAGCTACGAGTGCACGAGAAGATGACCTACTCCTCTAAAGTGTCGGCTAAGCACACCAGCCTGCGGAGGCAGCTGCAGCTAGAGGACGAGCAGGAGGACCTGCAGGCGCATACCGAGGCCGAGCGTCTGCGCGCCCTCCGCGACTACATGGCCTGGAAGCTCAGCTTGACCAAAGGTGCGCCCCTCTGGCGCAGGGTGGGGGTGGGGGGCCAGTGTTGCCCCACATCCCCAGCGCATGGGGCGTGCCTGGAACCTCCGTGCCACTTGCCTTGCGCAGATGGGAAGTGCTTTTCAAGTGTTTCGGAAAGGCCGGCCTTTTCTGTGTTTGGCCCCTTCTGGGGGGTACCAAAGGTCTATTCCAGGATTGCAAACCTAAGAGCTGTTCAGTCCTAATAGGGTAGTTCCCCACCTTATCCTGGGTTTCTCTTCCCTTGGCTTTAGTTACCGGAGCTGAAAGTAGGTGAGTACAACACATACTAACTTTTATTACAGTATATTGTTTTGATTGTTCTATTTTTATTAGTAGTCACTGTTGTTTATCTCTTACTATGCCTAATTCATAAGTAATACAGATTTATCACAGGTAGCTATATATGTAGGAAGAAACCTAGGATAGGGTTCAGGCATGTCCTGGAGGTCTTGGAACACATGGCCCTGGATAGGGGAGGCTGCTGTGTTGAGTGATTCGGAATGTGGGCAGCACGCAGTGGCCAGAGGCTGCACAGTATACAAGTGTGGACGGCTTAACTTCCTAAGACGGAGAATGTAGCTGGAGCTAGCTTTCCTGGCTTTGGCGGTGGCAGAAGCTGCAGCATTTCACAGCTTTGTGGTCATACCTAGGTCACTGGAGGACTTTGCAGCTCAGTTTCCTTTCCTTGCTGACAACAGTATCAGCCTCATGGACTGTGGGGGTTAAATGTATACTAATACATTGGCAGTAGTAGGAAAGAACTATGTATGTGTGTGAGCGTTGGAAATCTTAAGTACTGGATATGTATTAATATTCTATCAACCCAGATGATGAAGTATATTACAAAGTTAGAAGCAGTGGAACCAGAGAGTCCTGGCACACAGAGGATTAGAGGTGTACCATGTGACTCTGAAACACACAAGGGCCTCCAGCCTCCACCTGGGTAGCTGAACCTTGAACTTGCGGGGTTGTTTCAGCCCCATAGTTGGAGGGGCAGGCCAGGGAATGGGGGTAGACAGGGAGACGGCATGGCCCGTTCTTGTTCCTGCCTCCACCCTCATTCCTAAGACCTGGAGGAGAGGCAAGAGACTGGGGGGACAGGACTGTGACTCCTAGTGAGGAACTGGGTCTCCTGCAGGGTAGGACATCTCCGTGGCTACCCAGGGAGGCCCAGCCAGAGCCTCTGCCTGGATCTGGACTCTGGGAACAGCTCTTGTACCTGCCAAGCAGGGCTCTGCTCCTGGAGAGGAAAGGGTGTGAGAGGCAGGGCCAGAGAGCCCCATGGCTTCCAGGTCCTTTCCACAGCTCCCAAGTCAGGGAGCGCCTAGAACTTCCACTCCAGAAAGGCCAGAGAAAGGGGCCCCCATGGCCCTTGGCCCCAGCGTGCTCTCCTAAATGTTATCCAGACGTCCACTTCGACTTCCTCCTGCCTGGTTTAAACCCTGGCAATGTAGACGCAGCCTCTGCCCAGTTTGCTTGGGGGGCTTAGGGTGCCCCAAGTCGCAATTTTGCCTCCCCATTTTTCTCTCCTCATCTGCATTCGGGCCCTGGTTAGGAGGCCTGTGACTATTATGTCCAGCTGGGTGAAATTTCCCGGGCGAGGGGTCCAGAGCCTCATTGCAAGTGAGAATAGTGCTACAGCAACAGAGGCCCAAGTCAGACACATTAAGGGCTTCCCACCCGGCCGGCCTCCAGCCATGTTAATTGTAATATTTCAGGAAGAAACTTCTCTCCTTTTGTGGAGACAGAGGACAAGTACACTACCTTCCACGGTCCTGGTAGTCACCTGGGTGTAGACGCAGAGCAGTGCCCAGCAGCTGGCGGAAGGCTCCTCTGCAGACCTGCCGGGCCCCTCCTCAGACTGGGCTTCCTGCTCCTGCTCACCTCCCTCTTCTTCCTGCAGAAAAGAACTTGAAGCCTGAGAACATGTGCGACTACATTAAGCAGAAGCGGCAGCTGTTCCTCCTCCAGGTAGGCTCTGCAGCCCCCAAAGCGAGGGATGCCAGCAGGGGCTGTCCTGGGACAGGCACCATGACCCCGCTCTGCTGGCCCTCAGTATGCCCTGGATGTCAAGCGGAAGGAGATCCAGTGGCTGGAGCTGCTGCTGACCAAGGAGGAGTCCAGGCTGGAGCGGGCCGAGAAGTCCCTGGAGAAGGACGCCATCTTATTCGACGAGTTCCTCAGAGAGAACGACCGCAGCTCCGTGCAGGCCATGAAAGCGTGAGCCTGCAGGCCCAAGGGGCTGGCTGGGCAACGCTGTACCCCCATTGTCCCTGAGCCTGTGCACACCCACCCATCCACCCCCTCACCCAGCCTCTGCCCCCAGACACTGCAACTCCCGTAGAAGCACCAGGGCCGGTCAGGAGTCAAAGGCAGGGGACACTACGGGCAAAAGGCTTAACTGTGGCTCTCCAGCCCTGTCTGGAGCCACGGCCAGTCCTGGGGCCTGTGGGCGGTGTGCTCACTTCTCTTTAATAGGCTGCCACTGGCCCCCTGCCCCCACACCCCCAACCCCCAGGGCTGAGAAGGAGACCAAAGCCAAGATGGAGAAGATCCTCGAGATCCGAGACCTCACCACCCAGATTGTTAATATCAAAAGGTGAGGTCAGAGAGCATGCTGGCTATGGGTTGGCCCACCTTCTGGTCACTCAGTCATTTTGCCTAGCCAAAGGGAGCATACCATCATGCCAATCTCATGGCTTTACCTCCCAGGGACTCAGTGCTCCCAGGAGGCTGTTGCCCATTTATAGATGAGGGGACTGAAACTAAGATTCAGTGACTCCCATGGCTTCCACTTGGAGATGGGCGGCTTGGCTCAAAGGCTTGCCTGGCAATAGCCTAAGAGAGGTGTAGTCTCCAGGGTGGAGAGGAACTCGCAAATCACAGAGGGCCATGACTCTGGGTCGTTGCAGGGTGGATGCCCTTCTTCCAGCATGTGGCATTCCTGCACATTTTCTCCAGGAAAACAAGGAGCCCACCCACAGAGGCTTGGCCAGAACAAAGGGGTGGCCCTGGCATGGTGACCTCACTGTGGCAGAGGTTGACCTCCTCCTTCCCCCCGGTGTAGTGAGATCTCCAGATTTGAAGACACTCTGCAGCAATACAAGGTCTACAAGGATTTCCTATACAAGCTGTCGCCCAAGGAGTGGCTTGAAGAACAGGAGAAGAAACGCTTGTCTCTCAAAAAGGCCAAGGAGGTCTCCGAGTCTTCCAAGGAAGAGAGCAGTGTTAACACCACACCAGGGGACAAAGGTAGCAGAAAAGAGAATGCAGGCTCCCAGATGGGCTCTGCCAGTGGCCCTGCAGGCATCTGGGCCACGTGGCGTCGCAGAAGCTTAACTGCAGCTGAGGCCATCAGGTCTCCCTTTTGCTTCCTGCAGGACCAGGGATCAAGGGCAAGGCAAGCTTCGTGTCCCCCAAAGGTGAGCTGCTGCCCCCAGCCTGAGGAACCCAGCTCTGTCCCCCACAGGGCTCAGAAACCATTCCTCTGCTTTCTTCAGAGGTTCAGGGCACAAAGAAGCCCTGGAAGTTTCTGCAGGCGATGCGGCTGGGGCGGAGCCTGTCTTTCCTGAGCAGCCCCCAGCAAGGCAGCCAGCCCAGTGAGTCCAGCGGCGGGGACTCCAGAGGGTGAGTGGGCTCGGGCGGTTGGGAGAGGCTGGGGCCTAGCAGAAAGCCCTCCCTTGTGGTGCCCAGGTGTAGTCAGGTCAGAGTGCCACAGAAAAGAAAGTGTGTTACTCACAGTCCCCACTCCACACAGGGCCACACGGGAATGCCCCAGGTCAGCCAGGAGGCAGAGTGAGTGGGGCCCGTGGGCAGGCATCTCCATTGTGGTTCCCACGGGAATTAATGGTGAGGTGAGTGAGCAGGTGTAGGGCTGATTTGTTTTTGAATAATTTCGGGCTCTTGGACACAGGCTGGTCCCTGCTTGTCTGGTCCTGGCCCTGGGGGATAGGTCCTGAGTGTGGACAGTGGACTGGGTGGTTTGTATTTGAAAGGTGAGCTGAGGGCAAGCTCAGAGCCCAAGGCGAGTCATTTCCTGTCTCCATGGATTGGTCGACCCTGAGAGAGGCGGTCCCTCCAGGCTCGGCAAGGCCACAGGTGTCAAAGCATCAGAACACAGAATATCAAAGTCACAGTCACTACATGGGTGGAGTGGTCTCATATGGTTTTCAGGACATCTTCCTGATGAGAAATCTGAATACATTGCATACTTATTGGCTGCTCAGATGTCATTTTTTGTGAAGTATCCGATTTTTGAACATTTTTGTTGGATGATTAGCCTGGTTCTTATGGTTACCTATGGTTCTCTGTGTGTTCTGGGGACCAGCCTGGTGTGGAAAGTGTGGTACACATATCTTCTTCCAGTTTGTATCTTGCCTTATTTCTGTTTTAATATTGTCTTTTGAAGAATAGGAATTATTAATGTTAATGAAGTCAAATTTACTAATTTTTTATTTTATAATTGGTGAATTTGGGGCCCTGCTTAAGAAGTATTTCCCAACAGCACAGTCACTAGAACATTTCCTGTTTTCTTATTTTTTTTAATTGCATTTTAGGTTTTGGGGTACATGTGAAGAACATGCAAGATTGTTGCATAGGTACACACATGGCAGTGTGATTTTCTGCATTCCTCCCCATCACCTAAATCTGGCATTTTTCCCCATGCTATCTCTCCCCAGCTCCCCAGCCCCCACTGTCCCTCTCCTATTTCCCCCTAACTGACCCCAGTGTGTGATGCTCCCCTCCCTGTGTCCATGTGTTCTCATTGTTCAACACCCACCTATGAGTGAGAACATGCAGCGTTTGATTTTCTGTTCTGTGTCAGTTTCCTGAGAATAATGGTTTCCAGGTTCATCCATGTCCCTACAAAGGACACGACCTCATCGTTTTTTATGGCTGCATAGTATTCCATGGTATATATGCGCCACATTTTCCCTGTCCAGTCTGTCATCGATGGGCATTTGGGTTGGTTCCAGGTCTTTGCTATTGTAAACAGTGCTGCAATGAACATTCGTGTGCATGTGTCCTTATAGTAGAACGATTTATAATCCTTTGGATGTATACCCAGTAATGGGATTGCTGGGTCAAATGGAATTTCTATTTCTAGGTCCTTGAGGAATCGCCACACTACTGTCTTCCACAATGGTTGAACTAATTGACACTCCCACTAACAGTATAAAAGTGTTCCTATTTCTCCACATCCTCTCCAGCATATGTTGTCTCCAGATTTTTTAATGATTACCATTCTAACTGGCGTGAGATGGTATCTCAATGTAGTTTTGATTTGCATATCTCTAATGACCAGTGATGATGAGCATTTTTTCATATGTTTGTTGGCCTCATGTATGTCTTCTTTTGTAAAGTGTCTGTTCATATCTTCACTTTTGAAAGGGCTTGTTCTTTTCTTGTAAATCTGTTTTAGTTCTTTGTAGATTCTGGATATTAGCCCTTTGTCAGATGCATAAATTGCAAAAATTTTTTCCCATTCTGTTGGTTGTTGATTCACTCTAATGACTGTTTCTTTTGCTGTGCAGAAGCTGTGGAGTTTGATTAGGCCCCATTTGTCTATTTTGGCTTTTGTTGCCAATGCTTTTTGTGTTTTGGTCATGAAGTCCTTGCCTACGCCTATGTCCTGAATGGTTTTGTCTAGATTTTTTTTTCGGGTTTTTTATGGTGTTAGGTCTTATGTTTAAGTCTTTAATCCATCTGGAGTTAATTTTAGTGTAAGGTGTCAGGAAGGGGTCCAGTTTCTGCTTTCTGCACATGGCTAGCCAATTTTCCCAACACCATTTATTAAACAGGGAATCCTTACCCCACTGCTTGTTTTTGTCAGTTTTGTCAAAGATCGGATGGTTGTAGATGTGTTGGGTTGCCTCCGAGGGCTCTGTTCTGTTCCATTGGTCTATATCTCTGTTTTGGTACGAGTACCATGCTCTTTTGATTACTGTACTCTTGTAGTGTAGTTTGAAGTCTGGCAGTGTGATGCCTCCTGCTTTGCTCTTTTTGCTTAGAATTGTCTTGGCTATGCAGGCTCTCTTTTGGTTCCATATGAAGTTTAAGTTGGTTTTTTCCAGTTCTGTGAAGAAGGTCATTGGTAGCTTGTTGGGGATAGCATTGAATCTGTAAATTACTTTGGGCAGTATGGCCATTTTCACGATATTGATTCTTCCTAATCATGAACATGGAATGTTTTTCCATCTGTTTGTGTCCTCTCTTATATCATTGATCAGTGGCTTGTAGTTCTCCTTGATGAGGTCCTTTACGTTTTTTCTTAGTTGTATTCCTAGGTAGTTTATTCTCTTTGTAGCAGTTGTGAAGGGCAGTTCGTTCTTGATTTGGCTCTCTTTAAGTCTGTTATTGGTTTATAAGAATGTTGTGATTTTGCACATTGATTTTCTATCCTGAGACTTTGCTCAAGTTGCTTATCAGTTTCAGGAGATTTGGGGCTGAGACTATAGGGTTTTCTAGATATACAATCATGTCATCTGCAAATAGAGACAATTTGACTTTCTCCTTTCCTATTTGAATACCCTTTATTTCTTTTTCTTACCTGATTGCTCTGGCTAGAACTTCCAATACTATATTGAATAGGAGTGGTGAGAAAGGGCGTCCTTGTCTAGTGCCAGATTTCAGAGGGAATTCTTCCAGTTTTTGTCCATTCAGTATGATACTGGCTGTTGGTTTGTCGTAAATAGCTTTTATTATTTTGAGGTACGTTCCTTCAGTACCTAGTTTATTGAGGGTTTTTAGCATAAAGCACTGTTGAATTTTGTCAAAGGCCTTTTCTGCATCAGTTGAGATAATCATGTGGTTTTTGTCTTTGGTTCTGTTTATGTGGTGAATTATGTTTATAGACTTGTGTATGTTGAACCAGCTTTGCATCCCTGCAATGAAGCCTACTTGATCATGGTGGATAAGCTTTTTGATGTGTTGTTGCAATCGGTTTGCCAGTATTTTACTGAAGATTTTTGCATCTATGTTCCTCATGGATATTGGCCTCAAGTTTCCTTTTCTTGCTGGGTCTCTGCCATGTTTTGGTATCAGGATGATGTTGGTCTCATAAAATGATTTGGGAAGGATTCCCTCTTTTTGGATTGTTTGGAATAGTTTCAGAAGGAATGGTACCAGCTCCTCTTTGTTTGACTGGTAGAATTTGGCTGTGAACCCATCTGGATCTGGGCTTTTTTTGGGTGGTAGGCTCTTAATTGCTGTCTCAACTTCAGACCTTGTTATTGGTCTATTCAGGGTTTCGACTTCTTTCTGGTTTACGCTCAGGAGGATGCAAGTGTCCAGGAATATATCCATTTCTTCCAGATTTACTAGTTTATGTTCATAGAATTGTTTGTAATACTCTCTGATGATGGTTTGTATTTCTGTGGAATCTGTGGTGATATTCCCTTTACCATTTTCATTGCATCTATTTGATTATACCTTTTTTTTTTTTTTT